TATTTCCTAGATATATGAACAAAAATCAGGAAATACATTGTAAACTCGATGTCAAACATGTAAGCTAAAGCATGCATTACAAGTGAAACAAACAGGGACAGAATCATAAAAGCACATTGTTAAATGGAGACATCAGGTTGGGATCTGAAAAAAAATTACTCAGGTTACATAGTTCATTTGATGATATATCATTAAATGACCTGATATGAGGTACAGTACACTGGCTGTTCAAATAAACACATCCAACACTTTGTATATCCATGATGTCTATTATGACCTAAGTAACACGGAGAATGTATTTGGTGATCATTTCAGCTTGCCTTTAGAGCCACCATCAGGTTTTTCCTCTTTTAACACACTTTATGAACACGTACAGTCACTGAGCACAATTGTTCAACTATTAATTTATGCAAACATCTAATCAGCCATCAGCAACTCAATGCATTAGGAATCTAGACATAGTCAAGATGATCTGCTGAAGTTCAAATCGAAGTTCACATGGGCATGAGGTCAAAATATTCATGGCCCTAACTACTAGTATACATTATGACTAAATGAATCGTTGTGTATCTCACTCCATCTAGTTTTGCACACGCTCTACAGTAAAATAACAAATGACAAAGTTCACAGGTTAGAGTTAAAAGTCATTCATTTATATTTCACATTTGTAATATTCTTGGTATTTATAATTGAGTGCTTTCTGTATATTAGTGCTATTTCTTAAATGCATAAACTTTGCAATAAATTGTATTATTTAATTAGTTTAGTCTCTTATTGTTACTGTCTTGGAGCAACTGTAACGCACATAGTTTCTTTAGGGATTATAAACGTATTCTGATTCTGATCCTCCAGTTTCTTCCTGCCATAAAGTGTAATGCAGATTAGACTAGAGCAGTAGATCACTGCATATGCACATAAATGATCTTAAATTGATTGTACCATAGACATGGGGACATGTTTAAAAAAATGCTTTAATATAAATTAAATATCTGTCTGTGAAAATATATATATCAAAGAAAATGTACATAAAATGCGTACTATATACATATTTTTTATTTTAATACTGGCTCACAGAAAAGACGCATATTAATTAAAATCCATCCATCCGTGGATTAATATGTGAAAAATGCCAGAGAAAGTTATGTAAAGTCTTTGTAGTCATGCATTTATTTTTTTTATTTGTAAACGCTTCGTGCATTACCTTTCTCACCCACTAGAGGGTGCTGAAGCACCACCTACAGAACAGGACACACCCACTGAGGTCAGAGCAACGAAAAGCAGCTTTCTTACCTCAGAGATCAGAGTAGACAGAAAGAACAATGGGCAGCTGAGGGTTTGTTGAATTGGAGCACGGAGCTGGTGAATAGGTTATGAGTTTACACGCGGTCTGGTCTATTCTTGTAAAACAAACAAACAAACAAACAAACAAACAAACAAAATCCCAGCAGTTTCCAATGTCATCAGAGCCTCTGAATAGCAATACTATTAGTTAAATAATTGCTACATACTATTATTATCATTATTATTACTCTTTATAGTTATTATTACAAGAACCCTGGCTGTAGTGAAGCAGATTTAATCCTGCTCATAAGCACAATAGCCAAATGTAACCACAAGATGGCAGCAGTTTAACCCCCTTAGACCCGAACTCTTTCATGGCATAACTTTTTTTTCTCTTTGTTCTCTTTGCTATTTGGGCTGATGGAGACCTGATGAATGTAAAAAGAATTAGATAGGGGTTTTTTTTTTTTTGTTGTTCTTGTTTTTTTTTACCTAATATTTGTGTCTGAGAAAGATGAGATCCACATATGAGGACATTCCCCTTAAATTTCGATAGAACAGTGGTAGTAAAATGTCCTCGTAGATACCAGCAAAACTTTGTCTTTTGGTCTAGACAACCCAAAATGTGATGTCCACATATGTGGACGCCAGGTCCCATGAGGTTAAAGAATGGACACAAAGAGGCCAGAAACTTTGACAGGACGCTCTTTGAGATGAAAGGAGAGGGATGTTTTCGCTTACATTTGAACTGATGTCTGATGTTTAATTGATTTTCTGCTTTGTCCTGATGGAATGCCACAGGAGGAAATATATTTGTTCAAATGAGGTATTTACTATAGAAATCACTGTGCAGTATATAGCAGTGATATTAAAATGTAGGGCTACGGAAATATCTAAATAAAACTATAACTTATGTCGTCGTCTGAAAACATTCTGTTCATGCAAAACATAGATTTACACTTTGCATAAGGAATAATAGGCCAGAACAAATGTATTTGCTAATGTGCAATGAAGGTTATTCAAATTTAAAAAACAAAACAAAAAATATAAAACAACAATAACACCAAAAAAAACCCAAAAATATTTGTGACTAAAGTACAAATCTGAGTACCTGTTCTACCACTTTCCATCTAAGTACCCTTGAAAGATAACCAGTAACATACCTACCTGGACTGCCTGGAATGCACCTCTTATAGCGGATACAAATATGTCTAGAAACATTAAAAAGAAAAAATGTCCAAAATTATTTCAGTTGCTTAAATGGTTTGGAGAAACCTTTCAGAAACCCTTCATACCTGCACTAATTTCACAGAACATAAGCTACAACAATGTAAACAGTCTATGAGTGTGCTTTTGCCAGTGTTTTCAATTCACGTCTGCCCTGTATATTTCTTTCTTTCTCTTTTTTCCTTATGCGTTCCTCCTGCCCATCTTAACGTTCAAATCTTTTCTGAAAACAGGAACCTGGACACTGCATGCCTGATACCTGACGCTGTCAATTTATTTCTGCTTGCTTTGACTCTTTGCTTCTTGCAGTTTCCTAGTCACCTAATTTTCAGGGGATTCTTTCTCATACTGGCTGGTAGTGAAACCGGTGTAAAGTAGGTTTTAACCACCATCAAAATTCTGAAAGTTTGTGCACGACTGCTTGTTTATCTTTTATCATCCCCAGCTCATTACATTGCTGGGGAGCTCTATGACAAACGTTTCACAGCATATCTCTCTTCATCACAGTGATGCTTGCAGAAAGGCTTCTTTTCTGCATAGTTATTTTTCACTGATTGAGGTACAGTGGCGATAAAATGATAAGAAGCCACAAAAAGATAATGCACCAGAAAAGTGATCACTTTAGCATAGTCAGCATTTGGGCACATTTTCATTTTGTAGGTTGCCACAGCATACCTACAAGATGAAAAATGACTTGGTTCACTAAGGATAAATCATCTTGCGCACAAATCATTTGCATAATTTTCTCTTTATGACTATGCAGCAAGTCGAAAATA